GGACAATGAACATGTGTAAATGGTTTTTCTTCACAATCGCACGACGAAATATCAGTCCTTTGCCATTTACTCTCGTTGTTACTCGCCATCTTGTTTTTGCATCAATCCAAATGGTCAGCGGATTAACTTGTCAAAATGTCTCGACCAATGGCCTACCGCAAAAAAAAAAAAAAAAAAAAAAAAAAAAAAAAAAAAAAAAAAAAAAAAAAAAAAAACAGACCAAAAAGGCGGGAAAAGTGTCCAATCAAATGAATTATAATATCGTGGAAAATTTAGGCGGGAAAAAATATCCAATCAGGTCAGCTGTAATATTGATTCGGGCGAGCATAAAGAAGTGTGCTTTTTACTTGTAAGTCCTCTTTCCAATCGTGCTTTCAAACATGGATGGCGAAGGAAGCAAACAAGGAAAACTAGCCGCCAAATGCGCAGAAAGTCAAGAGGAAGCTTCGTCTTCACAAGATCATAGTATTCTCAATCGAATAAAAGAAATGTTCGGAAATACGATAATGGAAGCTTTCGAAGGTACGTTATTTTTCTATTAAATAATAATAGATGGTACGAATGCATGACAGTTTATTCGGCTCTCAAAATTTGATCGTTATTTATGACATGATTTTCGTTATTCTTCAAGAAAATATCCCCATTGAATCCTGAAAAAAGACCCATAACATATATAAAAACACTCTGAAAGCAATGGACACCAAGGATGTTCAAGATTTTTGAAGATGTAATTCGATAAACTTTTACAGCACTATGTTATAGCGACTCCATTTTGCAAGTTTTCTATGTTTACAAAAGATACTAAAAAAATCAAGATGCTGATTTATATTGCAATGTTCGGTTGTAATCAAAATGAACTGAAGTTTTAGCATCTAATGATCTATATAAAGCTTTACAGTAATAGATGCCATTTGTAGTTCTTTTGTATGTGTGAGTACATGATTATTATTGAAAGTCAAAAATTGTAGCAGCATTCCTCACATGTAAACTTGTTTCTTAAAATGATGCTCTACATTATTGCATTTTTTGTCCTCRAGCACTAATACAACATATATTGCTGTTCAATTTTGTTACATTCTTAAACAGTGTGCTTTTYTTTAAACTAAATTGTTGAATTGTGCTTACTTTTAGCTGAAGACATAACTACATCAGTTGTTCTTAAAGACCTACTTCAAAAAGAGGCAGATGCCTCTATTTTCAAAGCAGTTGGACTGAATTATGGGAAAGCCATACAACTGAAAAAGGAGTTCTCTTATCTCCTTCCAGAAACTACTAAACCACAAGTGAAACCATCTAAGGCTGATATGGCCACTTATTCTCCTGAAATAAAGTCTCTCTACTTGAAGAAGTAAGAATGATGATATCTTTGGAAAAAAATCTTTGAGGAATATAAATAAAGACTGCTAATGTCAATTAGTTTTTTCATTCTAGGAAATGACTATTTTTTATTTATTTTATAAATAGCGCTGAAAAGTAGTGCAAAATGTCTTAAAAATAGCTTTGAAAATATTACTTCATTTTCACAGCTTTCAAAGTGTCACTACAGTAATTTCCTGTTTGATTCTGCACTGTCTTGGACCCTTTTTATGACAAACTAGGATAAATTTTCAATGTGGGAACTGACAATTAAAACTGACTTAATATCTTTCTTTCTTGTAGACGAAAACGAGTTAGTTTGTTGGCAAATGAAGAATTTGGTCCTTCTTACCCGAAATTTAATACTCCTGAAATGAAGTCAAAGTTGCAGAGATTTTGTGATTCACTAGAGGAAAATTGTGCAGTCCCGCAAGTAGGATTTACTAAAGATGGAATTATGAAGCATGTGAAAGATTATTGTTGTGAGCAACGGCGCTATAGAAAATCCAAGAACAACAAGGTATTTTGTCTTAATAACAATAATAATTATAATAATAATTTATTTTGTTGAATGTGTGTTTCCAGAAAATATACACTTTTTTATATTATTGTTTCTCTGTGAGTGAGAAAACGCTTTCAGATTAAAAAAATATACCATCATCAAAGCTAAGGCAGCAGGGATTTGAGGTGTTCATGAATGTCTCAACACATTTTCTTGTTAAAACCTTAAAACATTGTGAAACGTACAGCAAAAATTGTCAGTCACACAAACACTGCAAATATCAAGTAAATAAAAAATTTAAAGTAAATTATTGTCAATAAGTTTTTGATATCTATATAAAATTAAATTGTGTGCCAGATTTTACTTTAAACCCCCGTCAAAAATGTAGTCATTTTTAAAATGTGCCTATTAATCACTTTTCAGCAGCCTGTGATAAGCCAAGGTGAGAGCAGTGATGAGGCTATTTATCAAAATAAGGTAAACAACTTTAATCCAAATTATGTATAGGACTTAAGCTGCTTCTGTTTATCAATCTTCATCATCATCTTGTGGCTGAGTAGATTTCAACCATAAGTCACCAGTGCAGTGACCCAGGGAGGTGTTCTTTTTCTATCCCAGCATTCCTTGACATGGTACCTGTGTATGTAAAGGCCTCTGTAACTATAATGGGGTCCCTGGGTTTCCATGGTAATGAGACTGTACATTTTCCTCAATTATTCACTCTATTTTGAAATGTATATGCTATGAGCTAATGCTAAAGTGCCATCAGTGAATGCTACTTTTGTTTTTGAATTAATTTGTTTATGTTTACTATTCTAATATTCAAATGTTGTATTATTGGTAACTATAATACAACTACCTTATAATATGATTGCAATTTGTCTTATTGTTTTATTTTCCTACAACAGAGTGTCATGCAAACTGAAATGGATGATGACAATGATTCAACAACCAGTAGTACAGACACTGTACCAGTTACTGAGGAAGAATCTGATGATGGTCAAGCACCAATTTCTAGCCAAGCGATCCCAACTGGGTCAGCTAATGCAAGTGAATTCATAAAGGGATCACCTAATTCAATTCAAGTGGATGCAAGTGAAAAGTTAAGCAGTCACACAACCCAAGTTATTTTAAAGTTGGTGTTTGGGTCTACTCCTAATAGAGAAAATGTTTGTAAATTGCTAACAAGCAGATTTGGAGTAAGCAAGAAAAATCTCACTTTACTGAAACCAACACAACTCTGGGAGATAATGGCCCAAAAACTGTTATCAAACAAGTATGTCAGTGTAAAAGAAGGTGCATCTTTAGAGAGCAGTGAAGAAGTCAGATATAATTGTGCATACAAAAATTACAATGCTTTAAGTTCAAGGAGGAGGAGCATTCATTGTTACTATGTTAAAGTTAAAAACAATTTGTTGTGGAGATCAGCTTATACCTTTCAAATTGATATCAAAGAATAATGTCATGTAGCAACTTATATGGTTTTTAAATTTGCATGTTTTCATTTGCATGTTTTGAGTTAACTTGTTGTATAGTTATATCATGATAATTACAAAGTCTGTATTGTTGAATAAACATTTTGAATATCATGTTGTTTACAGAATAATACTAGCTGAATACTGGTATAACAACAAATCTGGAAGTCTTGAACATGAGGTCGAAAAACAAATCATTTTTTATCAATAATTACATATTGGACAACAGCTGGAACTAACAAATCCCATGTATGAAAGAATTATTGGAGAAACAAAGTCCTTTAGTGGGAAAAAGTATGGAAAAATAACCCCATTGAATGGGAACAATATGGGAATAGCAAACCCTTTGATTGGGAAAATAATGGGACTTAGTAATCCCTCAACTGGGAAAATATTGGATGAAGAAAATACCTTCCTTGGGAAATTAATGGGAATATAAAATCCCTTAAATGGAAAAAAATGGGACTTCCAAATCCCTCAACTGGGAAAATATTGGATGAAGAAAATACCTTCCTTGGGAAATTAATGGGAATATAAAATCCCTTAAATGGAAAAAAATGGGACTTCCAAATCCCTCAACTGGGAAAATATTGGAAAAAGAAAATCCCTTGATTGTGAAATGAATGGGAATATTAAATCCCATAAATGGTAAAAGGATGGGACCAATAAATCCCTTGATTGGGAAAATATTGGATTTTGTTGCATTTTCATCATGGGAGTTTACATGAATTTCCCATGCAAATCCCAAAGAAAACCCAATGCTTTCCCAAAATGGGAAACATGTAAAATTTCCTGTGGAACCGCATGTTCTGAAAGCTACCGTACTTTTATTAAGCTTGCATGTCTAAAACGAAACAAAAACGGTTTATTTACCATGATATGTGCATTATCTTCAAAACTGTCATGTATCTAAACGAGTTTTGGGGTTTACTGTGGCACAAAGTGCAGCCACCACACATGGTGACATTGATGCTTTTAATAAATTTTAACACTGTTAAATCTGTAATTTGGGATTTATACTTAATTTAAGTAAAATGTTTACTCAAAACATGTCATGAGGTAAGTAACATGTAGTACTTGAAATTAGCTTCTGACACTATTGAAACAAGAACTGGGTATTGTTGCTTGTTTTAAGTGATCTAAAAAGTATTGAAATGAGTGATTCAGACTCTTAAAGTGCTACTAATCAAATCGGAGACATTAATTTAGCAAAATGTATAGAGCCATGAGATCACTATGGCGAAAGAATTTTTCAAATCGGTTGAGTTCTGAATATTCTACAGATTTTTGATTATTTAAAATTTCAACATTTGTTTGATTCAACCCTTCCGCTGACCATATGACCGACCGCAGACTCATGGCGCGAAATTACAACGCGACAAACTTCACACCCTTCTCTAGCTCTTGTTACTTTTCGGTGAAGCTGCTTTATATCTCGAGTTTTTTTCGTTTTTTAATGGCGACAGACGAATTATTTTATTCGGATAGTTCAGAAAGTGTGTCAGAGGATAGCAACGAAGAAGAAAGTGATATTGAAGTGGAAACGGAGGCTGTTATCAAAGCTGTGGCATCAACGAAACCTACGCAAATACGCCCGTACTGCGATTAGCCTTTAGCTGATCAAGCTTGGATCGAAGAATACGAAAGAAAACAGAGAGAACGTGCAGAGTTAGAGGATTCTTTGAACGCAAGGCTTTTGAGATCAGTAAAGATAGAAGAATGGTACGTACTATACTTCTCATATTTTAGCTCGATGTTA